AACAAAGCATGTCAAAAATCATTCATAACACAATGCCAGGTTTATTATATTTTACTGTTATAATATTAATTATCATCACAAATAGCCTAAACAAAATTTTGGCGCACATCATTCTTAATAAATCATTGTATTCCACTCCGTACCCTAATTGATAGAGAATCACTGTAAGCATGCAGTTGAGACAATTTGATGTAGCCTCCACTTAATAATACACAATAAAACAATATACAATAAGATTCTTTAACACGCAGGTGTCAGACTCTGTTCCATGTTTTGTGTGTGTCCTGCTCCCCATGTGCCTTCCCATGCCCTTATTTGGTTAGTTTCCTGTTCCTGTCCTGATTAGTTTATTTCATTTGTCCCAGGTGTTTCCCTTGGTTTTATTGCTCCCAGGTGTGTCTCGTCATCCCCTCCTCCTGTGTGTGTGTGTATAAAATGTGTTCCCAGTCCCAAGTTCGCGGTCCGTTGTTGTACGTCTTCGGTCCTGATTAGTTTATTTCATTTGTCCCAGGTGTTTCCCTTGGTTTTATTGCTCCCAGGTGTGTCTCGTCATCCCCTCCTCCTTTGTGTGTGTGTATAAAATGTGTTCCCAGTCCCAAGTTCGCGGTCCGTTGTTGTACGTCTTCATGTACGTCTTCGTGAACGTCTTCCTGTGTTCGTCTCCCTTGGTTCCTTGGTGCAAATAAAGTCTTGTCAACATATTCTCCAGCGTCTCCTCGTCCCTCGTGTGTGCAACGTGACAGCAGGCTACCTGGGAGCTAAAATGAGTCCGTGAGTACAGTTTACAACCCCGTGGGAATGGATCGCGAAAGGGGTGGTTTCGCGAGAATCGCCCAGAGTGTTCTCATAAGGTGATCTCATCTGGTGGCCATGTCAGAGCCGTACCCGTATTCAGGGATGGGCAGTATTTCAGATACATGTATTTAAAATACGTATTTGAAATACAAAATACTATTTTGTATTTTGTATTTGAAAGCCTTTGGCAAAAATCAAATGTAATTTGTATTTAAATACATTTAAGATTAGTATTTTTGTATTTTCAAAATACATAAAATACTTCGTGCCAGTCAACCTCTTTATCAGGATGCTGATTTAGCTCAGACACACCCCCTCCCCCAACCCCATTCATCACGTGAGCTGCAGCTGTACAACTCCATTCAGCATTGGGTGAGTGACTTTTCTGGAATAAAATAAGGTGAGGATGTCATGGTCAATTGTACATGTTGATTAAAGTTAAAATAGTGACGGCAAATCATTCAGATTTGCCATCAGTTAACCTGAAAGAATAAAAGAGCACTGACAAGGGGAAAAATAGCGTTAGCCAATCAGTTTTAATAG